TCAACTGCATAAATATCTATCGCACTATTTTGAAACTCCAAACCTATATTTACAGTATAGTTGGTATGTAACCATGTCACATAGGAAAGGTGAAAATCAATTCCCTTTTTGCTGTTCTGATAAGGTTCAAGAAGAGCAATTCCAATTTTGATTCGCACAGCCGAGGCTGTTTGATTGCTCAAACCCAACATGCTCAAACCACAAACGTTTAGCAAATAAATACTTTGGAAAACCTCTCGCCTCACTTTTCTGAAGAAGCAAACCATCTAACCCTGCAGGATCCCCTGATCTGTTTGTGAGGACATCAGAGATGGAGCATCCTGCTCAGGAGGAGGTCTGATCCTATCCTTTAAATCCCATCACTACTTTGGATGATAGTGTGAAAGCGAGATCTAAATGAGAGATTAGTTTTACACGGCAAAGAGTCTATCACACTACATTTTATGCAACATATTGCCCACATACACAGACACCATGTCGGATTTGCTTATTATTAATTAAAAAGGGATTGTAGAATAGTGTTAGTATCTTACCCATCTAAACAACCTCAGGTTGGAGAAACAGCATAATTGTGACTGGAGCTACAGTCTCAAATAATTTGTAGCTGTGTGGTGAATTAATGACAACAATCTTTCATAAACTTTTCATAGCCGTCAAGTTTGCACTAACTTTTGATCCATGTTGAAGAAGTTTGTGGCTATTATATGTATGCATATAATACCTCTGTTTTCCGTGTGTTTAATTCTGCCCTTGTCTGTCTGCTCACACAAACTGCATTTTAATGTTTCCAAACTCTCATTTATGCTGCTATAATTTACAAGCAAAGCAAGTTACCAATAACTCTATATTTTTCATGTCATACACCTTAAAATTACTACAAGAATGGTGTTTCTTTTTGGTAAAACCCTGATTTGGTTTAAATAATCAGGTGGTAAAACGTTCTCATGTAATTGAAAGACAGAAGTGACTTCATTAAGCTGTGGCTGATTGTTTCTGCTGTATAAACGCTCCCTCCATGCCTTCAAACAACTCCTGTACACACAAACAACAATGTAGGAGCACCTCAGATCATTAAGACTCAGATTTTATTGCTACAATTAAAGCAAAGAAGAAGGTGATATAGTAAAGCTTAATTTGAAAGGAAAGGCATATGTAATCAATAACAAGTCCCCCATAAAGAAAAATGTATGCGTGCACACCGAGTGAGTCAGTGTGTGGCAATGGACACAGATATTAAAATACTGCAAACACAAAAGTTGGTCCTGAAAGTTCCTCTACTTACATATTTTGTTTACCAGATAATCGAGCGCAGTTTATGGCACACCAGGGACGACTGTGCTCTGTTTAAGCTCATCGTGTAAATAGCAGTACTGTGAAGTTTGGAGTTGTTTATTTTAAGGTATTACTGCACAAAGCTGAGAGAACATTCAAAGAACCTCAGAGATGAATTGTGGCTCATTTGCTCCCAGCTGCGTGTAGGTTTTTAATCTGACTCCCATAGGATTGGCTTCACTCTGCATGGCTTTATTTCAATTAACCTTTCAACTCCTCCTCACTACAGTGACTCTGTTACCATTGCCGCTCTATCAAGCTCAATTTAAGATATGCTGTAAAGGTCATGGTTTTCTGCAGTTACAGTTCAGTTTTCACTCCTCAGCTAAAGCCAGTGTTTTGTGCACAGGCTGTGTTTTTAAAATCAATGCAACACTAGCCCTTTAAATCTTTACGTTTTCGCAGATTACAGACTTTAATTCGATGGATTAGATATTTAATGTTTATCTTTTGGTGGAAAACTGGGCAAACAAAGAGTTCTATTAAGACTGTGCTGGTGTGTTTCTGTATTTGAAATTGCTCAGTATTTATTCATCTAAATGTAACTGCTCCACCACAACTAAGTAACAAAATTATGAAATATGAACTGTAGGTTTTAAAAACGAAACTTATCACCAACAAGCAAATGTGTTCTGTCAGTTGAGCTTTCTTTCCAAACATGAATCTAAGTTACATAACTCATCATAAAGACTCCAGAATTAGTCGGGGCTTTTAAGCTGCCTCTAAATCAAAGAGACTTCCAGAACTACCACATCATAACACCACGTCTGTGACAAACTTCCTGTACGCATAAATACAAGGTTGGTAGCAAGCTATGACTCGATCCACAATAATTTATGGCACCACGCAGCAATATGGTCAGAAACATATTTTCATAAACCGTTGTGAGATCCTGCTCACTCGGTGCTTTTTATTTATACTTTTTACATTTAGAACTGCAACATTTTTCCACATCTGATTAGTCACATTAAATGCTTTCTAATATAACAGAACAGAACAGAACTAAAAATGCAGAAAACCATTAATGGACCAGATTGCCTCAAATCTCTCTAGCACAGAAACACACAGCTATACAAAAAAATACAGTAAAAAAAAAAAATAATTCTGTTCAACTATAAATGACTAGAGGGAAATCTATAAACAATGTTTGACCTGGCAGATCAAACTGCAAAAATAAATCAGCAGCGTAATAAAATAGTAATGCAAATGACTGGGACCTTAAGAGACTTGATCTACTTCTTATCGGCATTTGTATCCATCCAAGATCTTCCCTGCAGCAGTTTGAATATGATAATCAAATTATGTAATGATGTTGTGCTTAACAGTCCAAATATCCGAAGGCACCAGAGTATCACTCCTATTAAGGCAGGGTGTCTATTACATAAACACTACCAGTGCAACCTTAATTGGATCTACAGTAAACATGAATGCCAAGACAGAAAAGCTGCTGTGGCAGTTCCACACATTATAGGAAGAATAAATGAAGTCTTATGGTTTTTTCTTTTTTTTTTTTCTTTTTTTTTGATGAATAGCATCAAAACAAACCACGCAACCAAACTAACAATGATATGTCTGTTTTGTTTGACAGAAGAACAGCTGTGCTGAGTCAGCTCGCCTCACAGAATATCCAGTTCCATCCTCACACAAAGAGAAACGAGGCAGAATGACATCCACACCTTTGGGCTGCTTATCTTTAAGTGTACGAATCTTTTCCAACACCGGATACAGTAAGTAATTTTCTCCCTTAGAGAAGGCGGACAACGACTACATGCATGACAACAAAACAGTAACAAAAGGGGCATGTGGATGCATTTGGAGGAAATAAAATGGCTTAAAAAAATAGGGGCGAAGAGCCCAGCATTGTGTTTCTGCCAGGCAACACCGATCATGCCAAACTATGACGTTATTACACGTGGAATTGATCCACACAAGCAAACCTTGATGGAGGTTTGGCCTCATTCATGAGACTGAGCTCACGCCAAGATAAATTGATCCATCCAATACTTGATAGTTGCATGCAGATCATTCAGAACTGCATAAGAGGCAAATGTGGTAAAACTGAGGGAGTAAGCAGTACAAAACGAATCAGATTGAAACCGGACGCCCTTATCTTAAAGCATCAAGAGCTGCCATGACCAAACAGCCAAATCTTGTTAACTGGTAACTATGCAACAAAGATGCACTTCCAAAGCATAGGAACTTCAGGGAAGGAAATCTGATAGCTCAGGCTATGAAAAACTGAGTCATGCACCGGTAGTCTATGTAGGAACATCATTTAAAATTCCAAGCAATAGAGAGGTATATTTCTCAATTATTTATGCCACAAGCTTTCATTCAGAGGTCACATCAACAAGGGAAACAAGTTCAGATTAATACTTTTTTGTGTTCAACAATCATTTAATGTTTTATTTTTTCCATGCATAATGCACATGCAAAGTAGATATTACAACTAACCTTTTTGTAATTGGAGGACAACCCTTCATTTTTAAATGCATGCACTCTGATCTGCAGAAAATAGTATGTATATTATTTATGATTATTAATCTAACAAAAAATTACTTCATCAATGCCAGGAGACTCAGCTATCTTAAAATGTACAATCTCACTCCTTCCAGATCATATTCAGCAGAGATTTGATGGGGAAACTCAAAGCTTCACCTAGCTTTGATATTTTATGCATGCCCACAGTTCTGCATTTGACTCACAGTCAAAAGTGACACCAGGACGAATGTTTTCATTCTAATTACAAATAGAGAATTCACTTTTTTATTATTAGCATTTGTTTTTGCTGAATTTGTTTCACACAAAGGCTGAACTGGATTCTGACATGTTAATATTGTAACGGAGCCGTTATGACTTGCATCCATGTTATGGGAAACACAGAGTGTGTGAAACTCAAAGCATGAATGAAGCATGGAAAACATATAATTTAGATGAAGAAATATGCCGTATCTGGTCACATTTAAAAGCATTTCTAATTAATCCCCTTTACATCAGTGTGATGAACTATAACGCTTAGGTGTGTCTCAGTAGCAAACATGTATTACATAATCAGCTGTCTAGGAGCCGGAGTCTGTACATGAACTATCAGGCTTCTGGAGTTGAAGGAGGCTTTCAGGAATAAACACTGGAGTGTTGTATTGTATTATAATTATGATCAGCATATAAACAGCTGATCATTTAAAAGCTTTACTGACTTCAACTTAAGAAGCTGAGGCATGACAATGCAGTTTATTAATAGCTGCTTTTGTCACCATTCTTGCAAATCGGTTTTAGATCTTGGGGACTCTGGACACATAACACATTTTGCTGTTTACAATTTTGACGTGACACCAGATGACGTCAAAATCTGTGTTCTTACGGATCTTGCTAAATTGATATCTCTGTAAAGTAATCCGAAACATGCCACGGTGTTATTTACCTTTTTCGTGCTACTGCACGTGTTTTAGACATGCACTGTGAACTATCAATCCGTAATACACGACCAACTTGATTTGATGGGGGATTAATAGTTAAAATCTTAGCTCTATCTGAACAAGAACAAAAAGCACAAGTCTAACTTTCCTCCATGACATAAACAAAACGCCTTAGATGTGAACTGAGCTGCAGGAAGAAGTGAGCCCGTTTGCTCCGTCATGCTGGACAACATGCAGAGTCTGGCTCCTTACCTGTAAATGCCCCTGGTACATATTGAGCACAAAGTCGGTCGCCGATCCTTCCCTTAGCGGATCTCTGCGCTTCTTCCTTCACTTGAAGCGGGCAGGGGAAAGCTTGTCGGACCGGGGCAGTTCACATTAGAAGCGGCAGAATAGTTTTTGGGGCAGGGTTTCCTAGAAGGAGCAGACAGAGTGGAGCTTTCCTCCTCTCAGGTGCTGAAACTGACACTTTTTTTTTTTTCCGCCCCGCGCTTATCCAGGATTTGACAGAGAAGCGCCCCACAGGAGCGCGACGCCGGACCGAACTTTAAAGAAAAGGTGCAGAATCCTCACTGCGTCCTAGTAGTTTTGTGCCTCTCTTTAATAAACAAGATATAGGCTTTAAGGAAAAAAAAAAGAAAAAAGGAAAACATTAAAGACAATTCAGGTCTTCATTGTGAGCGCTCTCCAGCGTGTCTCCCCCTCCCCTCCTCTCTCGGCTAAATGTTTTGACGCGTCTCCCGGCTAATGCTCCTCTTCTAGCGTGCTCCTCTTTCCTGTTTGCCAACCCGTCCCTCCGGAGCCTCCTCCAGTGCTGACGCACTCACTCCACAAGGAGGCACGCAAGCACACCTCCATCTGCCTTCAGAGCACAATATTCAAAGAAGAAACTTATACAACTCCCGAAACATGCATGTGTATAATTTAAACGACAAAACGTTATGTGTGGACGAAGCCTATTGAAACATTGTGCATTTTTCCACGCCTTTTAATGCACAAATCAGCCCCGTTTTTGCTAATTAGTGGGAGAAATAATTACATAACCAAAATCACAAAAGATACCTAATTTCCAGGAAGCTCATTACGAGCAAGAAGCAGGACAGAAGTTAGCCTGCAGTATTTATTTATACAACAAAGGCAGATGTGCTGTTTTAACTCAAGTGTTTCAGGTTTTCCAAATGGGTTTATACTCCAAGTAGGGCTTATAGCTTGTGACTATCTCTTCATATGTAAATGAAAACAGTTTAATTTTTTCCAAGCTGATACTCCTTTTGCATTATTTTATTGTCTTTTGAGAGATGCTTGTCTTGTTTGTATTCAAACACTGAAGTGAATCTCCTGTTTTACATCTGATAACAGTGGAGGCCATTGGAGTATATTAAAAAATTATGTAAGCTTTGTGTCATGGTGCAAATATTCAAATCATTAATTAAGAAAAACAATAAAATGTCAAAATTTACTTATGAATTAAGAACAAACGTCAGATTAAGGAGCAGGGAGAGAGCACTAGAGCAAATACAAAGGAGTGTATCTCGTTAAATATTTAATAGTTTGACTATTATAGTTACTTGTGTAATATCCTAACTAAAACTATGCTTACTACTCAAACTTTGTCTGCATTTTTTAGGAAAGGGGATGGAGAGTTTCCAATGTACATAAAATCCTTCAAATCTTTCTGGTAACATGGATTGAACTTATATGAACATATATTATATATTTCAGAGTTCTTCTACTAAGCAAAGTGTCTGAGTTAAAGATGCATAAGGCTACTTCTCACACAGCTTGTGGGTACTAGAAAGCATCTAGAAGTAAATAATTAAAAACGCCACTAACCAGAGATCATGTTATGTGACAAGAGTGAAAAGTACCCAGTGTTTTCTCAGCATCAGTGTTGAGAAGCAAATTACCAAGTCAGACAATGAACTCATGATGATTACGGTTAATTAAGCACTTGATAAGTTTAGAGGAAAACTAATAAAAGAGTTTTGTGATCAGTTTTTTTTTTATTAACTTGTATATAATTTTATGCCACTTTGACTTTTTTCACCATTAATCTCAGTAGTTCTACATGTTGGAACGTCAGTCAAGAGACAACCAAAACAAACCTTAGGAACCCAATTTAAGGTGAAGCGTCACAATATGAACACATGAATGCAGGTGAATTAATCAGGGGGATTTGGAACAGCTGTGAATGAGACACAAAGGAAACCAGGTGCAGAAAAACAATCACTGATCTAAGTGGATTATTATAAAGTTTATTTGATAGGGACAGACACACATTGACATAGACAAACAGCAACAGCTAATTTGTAGCACTTGTCCCTAGTTGGGCTTTTTTTTAAAAAAATAACTCTAACAATTGAAGTAATAATCACTTAAAATAACACAACATAATGTACACAAACAGAAAAATGTAAAACATCAAAAATGGGTGCAGTTCTGTTTTTGACATGACCAGAGTTTTGTTTGATTTTTGAACATGCTACATACTACAGATGGTTACAGACTTTAAATGAACAGGAAGTGAGTTCCAAACTGCAGATCCTCTCACAGACAGAGCACTTGGAGCAAAAGTGGTTCTTCGAAAGGGGACCTTACAATTTCCATCCAAAGCTGCTCTGGTAGATCTGCTATTGCCCTGCAGTCAATAGCATTTATTGGCCTGTAGTTGCTGATTTCATGTCGACTTCCTGATTTAAAAATCGGCTTCACCAAAACTTTTTTCCATGCATCGGGAAATTGCCCTGTTCTGATGGAAATGTTAACTATATGAGTTAAAGGTTCTACTAAAATGTTACTGTATTTTTTTTAAAAAACATAGCATCTAAATTATACATATCCTTTGCGTGAGAATTACTTAGGCTGTTAATGGCTTTTTGAACATCACAGTAATGAATTTCCTTAACTCAAATAAATCATAACACTTTTCGGTCGGTTTTGTACCGTGTGTTTCCATTGGAGCTGGCAGAAACTTTGATGCCAAGTCTTTAACTGAAGAGAGGAAAAAATCATTAAACATTGTTGCTAGCTTAGCAGGATCAGTTATGTTTTTTCCTGCTATTGCAAGTTCATATTTATGTTTAGTGTGTGCATTGGGATTCAGTAAACTGTTTAGTTGTTTCCAGATCGTCTTACCATTCCCTCCAGTTTCTGATAAGACATTTGTGTAATATTTAGCTTTAAACTTGTAAATTTCTTTAACTACTCTGTTCCTCAAACTTTTAAAAAGCAGCCAATCTGTGGTCCTTTTATTTTTAGGAAAGGATTTTAGAGCATAGTCTCCCTTTTTCATTAACAGCCCAATGTCATCCGATACCCAAGGTAGCTGTATTTTTCTTCGTCCCTTCGTATGGGTTTTAAGAAACTTATTCATAGTATTACAAACATTAAGAATACATGTATTGCAGCAATCATTATCTGATTCTGGCTGGAAACGTCATCCCAATTAACCTTAGCTAATTTGGCCTCAAATTTGGGTACACATCCTGTCTTGAAATTTGTATTACAGTCTGTTTCTGTGTATTATAGCGACTGACAAAACAATTTTGAGATAATTTTCTTGCAATAAGAGTAATATTGTGATCAGATAAGCCGCACACCAAGTTATAGGATTTTATGATTCGACCAGGTTTATTTGAAAAAAAATTAATCCATTAAAGTTTGACTGTTTTTAGTGATACGAGAGGGACTATTGATTAACTGGTGAAAATCAAATTTTGCTGTCAGTTCTCCAAGTGTTTTTTTCATTTTATTGTCCATCCAGTTTATATTAAAATCCCCAATATTACTTCACTGTTGTTTCTAAATCCTGTTAACAATTCCTTGAAGTTAAGATAAAAAGTTCTGCTGCAACTTGATGGTGGATTGTACACCACCACAATATTAAAATTCATATGAGGCGAAAGACAAACATTTAAACATACAGATTCTATTGATATATGCTCAAATATGACTATTTCATTGACGTTAAATACGTCTTTTATGTAAATTAATACTCCCCCTCCTCGCCCCACAACTCTATTCTTTCTGAAACATGTATATCCAGGTACATCAATCATATTAGCTGGAATGTTATCAGTTAGCCAAGTTTCACTTAGACATAGAAAATCCAAATTAGATAAACTACACACACAAACTGGGGCAACTGTGGCTCCATAGAGTAGCTGTCTTGTAAGGTTGTAGGTTTGACTTCAGCTTCTTCCAGCCACATGTCTGTGTTCCCCTGGGCAAGGCACTTAACCCCAAACTGCCTACCGATCTGCACATTGCTGTATTGGTGAAACTACAGTAACAATAATTAATAACTCCAAAACGTAAAAAAAGCAATTTTAAAAAACCAAACACCTGAGGATCCTGACATCATCCATCTTGTTGCTCAAGAGATTAAGCTCTAGGTTTAGTCAAAGTTTTAAAAAACCTTTTGTGAAGGAATCTGCCAAGTTATATGATTTCTATCTGCTCCAAGAGAGAGGCTGAAGTTCTCTCCTTCCACATCTGTTCTGATCAAGTTGACCTCATGTCTGATTGGAAACATCAGTCACTCCTCTGGGTGTCAGGCTCTCATTAAGCAAGCTGTCAAAAGAGGGCAGCCACTTATCTCGCAGTTGAAGGAGTCTGAGCAGTAGCCCTCAGAACTGGCCTTACTTTGAGGCAGGAAAGGAAAAGAAACTCAAACTTTTAAACCAAATCGTGCTGTGCTTGGTGAAAAGACGACCACCAGTGAGTTTTATCACACTGTGGAAGAACTCTGGTCCGTTCTTCTTTGCTGAATTGGTTCTAGTATAAAAACTTTATTGTGTGCTTTGGTTTCATTGTCAGTAAAGTCAGTGAACTGATGGATGAACACGCTCCTCAGGGAATGTGAATATAGAGCAACATTTATGGTTCCATAAGGTCATTGAAGCTACTGATGAAACTGGGATGGTTCACCACTACCATTACTTGCATTTTCCCTGCAGTTTCGTCTACTTATCTGTTCTTTGATTTCTTTAAATCCAAACATAATATGTTGCTCCTTGCAACCTGCTTCCTCCTAACCCTAACTTTGGTACTCGTCATCAACAACCTGTACATTGCAGGCTGCGGCAGTGTTACGAAGGTTTTGCCTCAATGTTTCTTGTCAGTACAGTCCTGAGCAAGTATCTGTCATTTTCCCAGAAGGGATCTGAGGTTTGTTTTCACGCGACAATAGGTCAAAGTAAAAATCAAAACCAATTTGGTTCCTCAATTGAAAGAGAAATTGGAATCCTAAATCCTTTGGTATTTTTCAAACTGGCAGCTGCATTTTGTTTACGCAGAAGCAACAAAGAGCAGCAACGTCACCAACCAGGTTTGTTTACCTGAGATGTTTCTGACCTTCAGTCAGTGTCACGCTGCAATCTGAAAGTGTGTGTTTTCCCCAACAGGGTTATTAGAGAAGGTGGACAGATGGATTGACAGACTAAAGACAAACATAACCAGACAACAATGGTCATAAAAGTACAAAATATCAATATGAAGTCCACAAAAATGCTAAATACGTAGGATTTATTTTCTAAAACATACACTTTGCATCTCTAAATAGTGAAATGATAAATTAAGTAATTGTCATTTAAAATTTTTTGTTACATTATTACAAAACTATGTTCTAACATGAGCCGTGTTGCTCCATGCATCAAAATTTAAGTAATTTTGCTCAAAATAGATCCACACAATCCATCAACATATCGCCCTGTATGACTTCCAATGAAACTTGTAACAAAAATGTATACTTTTACTTTTGTTTTTTTTCTGT